TAAAGTCATCACTATCGATTTCGATTTGCTATGGAAATCATCAAGCTTAGTAACTTGTAATTGGCTAATTAAATATTCCAACCAATCAAATTACTTTCTATTGAATCATCGTAAATCACCATAAATTACGCACAGAATAGACTTGACTCATGTCATGTATTTGCTCTAAAATTCTAGTCATAAATGGCCATATATAATTACCTGGATTTCTGTACCACAGAAAAACCCACTGTTAGCTATATCCCGTCGAATTGTCCGATCGCTAGGTCCTGCAACATTGACTTTTGCCTGTTAGAAAAGTTACAACAAAACATTAGTCTAAAACCTGGAGTACTACAAGCAAACAATTACTCAGTTTTTTAGTTTATTAAGTTGAGTACCTAAATATATTTTTTCAAACAACTGCCTAATTTGAAAACTCCATTTTCCAGCTACGGCCCCAAGCTGTTTTACAGATCTGAACTCCAGTTCTGGCCTGTTTGGGGCCATTCACAAAGGATGTCCAACCAGAGGGTGGGGAGGAGGCTTTGGAAAATCAGGACAAACCCCGACATAGGGGGGAGGGGGGTTTTTAGCAATCCGGATGTCCGAAATTTAAAAACATTCAAAAACAAATTTCTTTTTCCTCTATGTTGAACTCTCCTTCCCATTGTAAAATTGGCATTTTGGACACTTCATAATATTATGTAATTCTTTCCTTCAATGATGAATTCAACAGTGGCGTCAAATAAAAGCTTTCTGCATGTATAACTCTCCTTTTCTATACAATAAATTCATCCCGATGTTGCAGTAACACAGTTGTTGGTTTTAATTAATAATTTATATGTTTTTGTATTCACATTTATAGTTATAAAAAAGTTCTAAAAGTAAAAAAAGTTTGTTACTCTTAACATATACAAGGTTGTGTGAGTTTTGCGAGGCATGGCGGATGTCCAGGGGGAGTCACTAATTCGGACAATGGCAGACAAGGGGGAAGGGGGGGGGCTGAAAATCCATCATTTGGCCGGACATCCTTTGTGGATGGCCCCTTTGTTAACAACTTGAAACATAGTTTTCAGTAGCTGGGTATCATTTGGTTCAACTTTGTTCGATGGTTATTTGGTCATTATTTGTGACCAATACTTAGTCGAAACATGTCTATTTGAACAAAATTGCCATATTTTTTGTAACTTTGACAAGTCAGCGACCTCCGGCTCCGGCCGAGCCTACTTTTTCTATACAGCTTTCAATGATACAAAGTACACATAGATGGTGGTTTTATCTGAAGGTTATATTTTACCACTTGTTGACATAACATGCACTACTGTAGTGGTAAAATTTAGCCTAAGAGATAAACATACACAAACACTTTAAAGCAATAAGTCACAACAACCATTTAGAACTCACATCCATGGTCTTCCTGTCCTTCTTCTGATTTTTCTTTGGCCTTGACTGGATGTTGTGCATTGTCTCAATCTCTTTTGGGGATGCTTCAGCACCTGCTAGCTCTTCTTTTTCACTTTCGCTGAAAGAACTCCAAAGAGTTGATAGGCGAATGGAACTTCCTGGTGAAAGTACACTAGAATCTTCCAGGACCTGTTGATGATTCTGGTTTGTTTCAGAATCAATTGGCAATACATCAGGTATACTAAGTCCTCCAAGGGCACATGACAAGGCTTCTTCAATAATATTATTCTTGGGTGCTTCTTGATTCTTTCCTTTGCTCTTTTCTACATTCTCTTTATTCTCCACTTCTATATTCTCTTTCTCATCCACTTGATCAACATAAGACCACATAGGTCCAAGATGAAGACGAGCCCAAGAATTTCCAAAATTGGCATACATTGTCTCCATCCAAGTCTTGTAATCCTTGGAGGCTCTCAGATTACTGCCATCATCAGATGCAAAAAATTTGCAGTTGAAATCAAGTAACCCAAATGGCATTCGGTTTACATTCAGACGTGCTGAGGATCCATCTTCACGCATAATTCCAAGTGATTTGCACAAGTTAAAAACAATATTATCCTTATTGTTCGATTTCAAGTGATCCATAGCTAGCAGAGACAGTTCAATAAAATTGGAAGGAATGAAATGCTTCAGATCTTCACTAAAATCATTTTCGGCAATAAAGGAATAAATAAATGTTGCAAGTTGCATACGTTGAATTGATGACATTTTGCCAAGATTTTGCACAATCAAAGTCATAAGGTCTCCGCAAAGTTCTTCATGTTCAAACTCAGCAGAATCATTTCTGGCCTTTTCCATCTCATTAACATAATCAATGTCATATGCCTCTTCAGCATCATTGACGGTCTTGAATTTCTTTTTAAGGTGGTCAATTACTTTCAATCTACATGCACCTCCTAAATTAAAGAAAGAATAAAAATTGTAAGAAAGCACTGTAATTTGTTAGAAAGGTCATGTAATTCATACTGTCATCTAGTCCACATGGTCCTGGGCAGAATCCTTACAATCTATTTGGACGATATGCTGGATACACTGTTGAGATCTCAAAGACTTGTAGGTTTATATTAATCAAAGAAACTTCTATGCACTGATTGGTACCACCCCCCTGAGAAAACATTCCTGGATTGACTAGTGCATTATATGACACAGTATCTTATAAATTATATATCTTGTCAAAAAATAAAACCAACCTGTTCTTAATGGCATTCCACTAGATTCTGCAACATCCTTTGCACAATCATCCCAGAAAGCAACACGTTTGTGTGTGGGCCAACAATCAGAAGATTCGTACAGTGCAACATATCTCACCAAACCCTTCAGCTCATCCTTATTCCAGTCTTGTTTTTTTCCTTTCTACAAGAATAAAATACATTAACCTGTTAACGGGCAAATTATCTACCCAAATGCGACCTACTTTAGCATTTACTCTGTTTAATGCCAGACGATTTTACTCCTCAGTGGTAGAGTACTGGTGGTTAATGGGTTAACCGATTTACTGGTAGTATTTTACCACTGACAAATGACAAGTAAAATAGTCTGGCATTAGACAGATTATACATTATTTAAATTCATATAAATTTATGTTATAAAAAATTTCAGTTCACACATGTAATATTTGTAACTTCATGTAGTGATGAAAACCTTAAGAAGTGTATGTCAATACTCAATACATTTATACTTTAATGTAAATGATTTACAACCAAAATGCAACAGGCAATACTCACAGTATTTTGTGCAAACAAAGATTTCTTTGAGGAAATATGTCGCCCTTCTATCTGTTCAATATTTCTCTGGTTCTTTTCCTTTGGCTTTCCAGGAGTGTCTCCTGTAGGAGGACAATGACCTCTCTTGTTTGACATTATCAGTTCAGTTTTTGGCCTGTATTCAGTAAAATGAATTACACCACTTAAATTGTAATCATTATTAATTTATTCGGCACTTTTACAGTTTATTTAACTAGAAGAGAAAGTATACCCTAAGCACAAAGAAGCAATGATGTACATTCATGTATTTTTTACAACTGGTCAAAACTTGGGATTCTTCAATGACCAATATTGAAAAAACTAGAAGAGGTAGGATGGGGTAGGATGGCATAATAGTGATCAAAATACTTCTGTTAGTATATCTGTTCGAAAAAATCCTTACGAAAGCGAAAGGAATTTCTGTAAATTGCATTTAAAGGAACACATACCGAAGACCCTTGTGAATAGCGCCATTTTGTACATCGTACTTTCAAGTATCCCCTAGTTCATATAATACCGATATTCTAAAGTATTTTTACAGAAATATATAAAAATATAACTTACCTCACATTCTTGTAAATATTTGAGTGAATACTTTGAAAGATTGAGTGAGTAAATCGGTATATTTGGTAGATTCCTGCTTCTTTCTTTGCTCTTTGTGTGTTTATCGCTCGACAGGCTAGTGCTTTGCTGATTGGCGCATTAGTTATGCCATGAGCCTTTGCGGGCCGTGGCCAACCTCTGAGTGAAAGTCATGACAAATTCAGATTAATGTGCTCATTCTGCTCCCCTATTCGCGCAATTAAAATTATTAGATATTTTCAAGGTGAACACTTTCCAGATTGCTAAATCCATGTTCCTTTATCATCATCGATTATTACCAGTTTTGCTATCAAATCTATTCCTAACAAATAATCAAGTTCATAGATATTAAACCAGAAATGCTAACTTTTATCGACCTCATGTTTGTCATACAAATATGAAGCAATTTACGATTCTTTATCAAGGCCCAAAAATATGGAATTCACTGCCAGATTCAATAAAATGTGACAGTAGTTTTTACTTGTTCAAGAAATCCCTTATCTCTTTTCTATTAAATGAATAAAGTAATCTGCATCTTTCATGTCCCAACGTAGCTATATATATACCAATCCATTGTCATATTTATATTGTATTATTCGGGTTAATGGTTTCTTGTGGTCTCCCCGCCACACTCCTGATTGTTTTAATGTTCTTTACTGACATTTTGTTTGTTTGTATGTTTGTTCTTGTTTTTTTTCTATGGATACTTGTGGCTAATGTTATACTTACAAAGAGCAGTAAACACACATATTTCAAAGCGAAATTAGATGCAAAGGGGCAATTTTTCAACAAAATTCATTGTTAAATTATGTTTCCTATGTGCCTTGGGAGCAAAAATATATGATTTTAAATTTGGAGGAATCGGTAGTTTTTTTTGCAATTTGGCCTGGTATTGCACCCTACCTATGTACTGACTGTGCTGTAAAAGTAATCAAATTTTCCATTTTTAATTTCCCTTCATTGAAAGGATCTACTATTGTGGACATACAAGGCTGCAAACAACAGCCAAGAATTAGCTGGGTAGTTTGCAAACTTTAAAAATAATTGGACCTCAAACTTTGATCCCCAAAAGTGAACAAATAGTCAATACTGCGAACATAATCCAAGTTTTGACCACTAGGGGCAATTTTTAGATGTAAAAACTCGTTTAAATTACATATCAAACAAAGGCAAAACAAAATTTTGTATAAATTTTTTGGAGGAATAGTCAAGGTTTTTTGCTATTTGCACACGCTTCAACACCCCCTCCCCCAGGATCTTCTCTATTAGAAAACAGTTTTCTGTGGAAACAATGCTTTTTATCGGAAAAATTTTTTACTTTTCTCAAAAAAATACTTTATAAACACGGAAACCTTAAATATTTAAATAATTTTCATATCTTTTTGGGATTGCAAAAAGCAAAATTTGATTCATGATCACACATTTTAAAATATATGTGATAAAGTTGCATCGAAATCACTATCACACCAGTTGCAGTCAGGTGACATCAACAGCCATCAAACTGTTTCCACCATGCATGATGGGTAGTTCTCTAGCGATTCCTGGATGCCCTTCAGTCAGTATTCCCTCAGCGACCCGTATGATGCAAATACCTCATGGGCAAGGTTCCTCGCTTTGACCTCTCGTCTGGCAATGACGACTAGCTGGTTTTTCTCGACTTTATACGCGCCGTCACACTCTTTCAGTATATCGTTTTCGATTTCCTTCCACTGGTGCTCGTTGAACTCTGTGTGCGCGGTTTTATTGGATAGCTGGACAACTTTATTGAGCTCTCGTTCTTCGTCCACGCTTGCTTGGCCCTCTTTCCACACACTCTCTGGGTGTTGTGGGGCGTTGGTAATTTGCGCGAAAGCTTTGTAGTCGACTGGGCAAGAGCCCAAATCAGTCCAGCCCTTGCGTAGGTCCCACAGATGAAAGGGGTGCAGGAAAACGTCCTTGGGCAAATTGAACATGCCTGCTTTGTGTTTTATCGCTTCCCACATGGCTGCGTTGATTGGTTGATTTATCCCCTTCTTGTAAAACGACATCATATATCCGGCTGATGCCAGTTTTACAGTGAGGTTTTCCAAGACACCTTGGTTGTCTTCAAGCCATATGTTCACGAGGGCACGTTGATAGCGATCATAATGCGCAAATGGTATTCCGTCATCGGCCGTGTCACATTCCAGATAGATCTGCAAAGAAGGGAAGAGAAAACTAAAGAGAGAAACAATTTATTTAGAACACTTGGAAAAATGGAATTTGCATGGATTATTACCAGACAAGGAGTACATAGTATGAAAATGGATAGTTACTAAATTTAATGCAAATTGGCTGAAGAAATCATACGTTTGTCGAGTTTGCTATCAGCTTATCGAACGAATAGGCTGCTAGTTCATTCTTTTCATCTCTAAATTTGATCGTGGCTCTTATTCTGCATATATGTGTAGCTTCTTTCTGTCGTATATGTCAATCTACGACAGGAAGAAGCCACACATACACGCAAAATGCATGAGACCCCCGATCTCAATTCTATAGAGGAAAAGAACTGCTTTTCTAACTTTTCAATATAGCCTACCTGTTTCATCCAAGAGGAATTATCAGGAGGCCACCATGGTGATTCCTCTTGGATGAAACAAGCGGTAGTGGCATTCGATAGACATGGCATTCATGGAAAACAGGTATAAATATTAATGTAACTGACCTGACCGACCGACCTTTTGAGATGAAAACTATGTATATGTGCTATATATGTGCTATATATTTTATACCTGTTTACTCTCAAACACCATCTGACATACTGCCCGCAGTGACTCCACGCCCATGTGCCTTGTCAAAATGGTACCCATTTTCGTGCTATTTGCTACGAACTGCAAACGCCATTTCTGGGGCATCGTTGCCTAAGGTGTGTACCGACATCTTGCGTTTTGGCTCCACGAGGGTAAGCAAACGTTGGTGACTTTTATTGCCCATGAAAATGTCACAGGAGTCTCTGTCGTTAAAGTGAATGCAATTCTTGTCCACTTTCACCATTCGTCCAGCTGGTGGCCCAGGCTCGTTTGTCTTCCAGCACTTTGGGAGAGGATCGTCAAGTCTCCTGTTGTGCAGGTACGGCAACATGTACTTTGTTGTGGATCCCATTACTGCCGTTGGTGCGGCTGTCGAAAGTGTGGGTGGGGTCATGGGGGCGGCTGACTGGGCAAAGTGGTACGCATTCTCGAGCGAGGATGAACTCAAGCCTTAACTTTTAAGCCAAAAGCATGGCCATGGGCTTTGTGACGTACTGCGTGGGAAAGCTGCCGTACATTGAAGTTCTTTTCCTGCAAAGTATTGACAACATGTTTTGGTTCTTAATTATAATACATACATACATACATAGTTACAACTTTAATTTGATTATTAATTCAAATGAAGACTAGTTTGTTCTTTTATCGAAAGTGACTGGTCAAAATGACCAGCAGAGTAAGAATTTGACCGGACAACTCCGCATTTTGGCCGGACATTGTCTGTTGACCGGCCGTTATTTCGCGCCCTGTGAGTTGATCGTAAAATCTGGGAAAAAGACAGAATATTTAGCACATTGCTATTATATAGTCACACCGTGAACATTGTCAACATTCTCGGCATATTACTGCTCTGTAAACATAGTTGATGAAGCGGCAGAAAACATTTGTTTCTATGCTTAATCAATTTTTGTTTCATTCCTAATTAATTTTTGTCATTCGGGCATTAGCTCGGGGCGAGGGTACTAATTTTGCTCGGCGATTTTTTAAAACATTTTTCGAAGCGCTTGTGTTTGAATTTTACATGATATGACATGAAAATTTTTATTGGTGGAATCTTATTGTCTACATACATGACTTATATCAAATGTCATTCACTATTTTTTTTAGCCTGTGAACAGACATTTCTGTGAGTTGGATGAAGATTCCTTGTTCTGGTCACGTGGATTTTCCACGGATTTGTGGATTGTGATTGTACATTGCTTTATTTGAGTAACATACAACAAATGAAGATATTTCACTTGTTAAGTGCATGCGTAATTAGCATGCGTTTAAAATAAAAACATGAAAGTCTTAAATTCAGAGATTTCCCTCTGGAGATTTCCTCAAGAATTCCTTCGGGCATATATTTTTGTGTTTTTATTTTAAACGCATCCTGAGTATCAATTAACCAATGAAATATCTTCATTTGTCATATATTATTCAAATAAAGCACTGTCCAATCAGAGGCCTTTTCACAAATCTGTGGAAAATCCACATGACTGGAACAAGGAATCCAACTCACAGATGTTCTCTCACGCGCTTCATCGAGAGTAACATCTGTTCACAGGCTATTTTGTCTCTGAGATTTTAACATTTTAAGACTTGAAATGATGACATCATTTGTAAGATCAACATGATTGCACGCATCCAATAAACTACGCTGCTGAAGTAACTCTGAATGACAATAATAGACAAAAAGTTTCATTTACTGCTACTCATTGCAACCAAAAATCGCTTTACGATTTAAGTTTCTTTTGTTTTGCAAACAAAATGACGTCATCAGTTGCTATAATAAAATGTAAACGAAGCAAGCTATCCAACTAATTAAAATGGTTTTCTTCATTGCTTTAGCAGGTAATCGCATCCAGCAAATAAAGTATTTTGTGTCATGTTACACATAATAACATACTGAACCTACAAATTTGGGAAATTGATAATTTTGTAATTAAAAGTGATCATATTAAACAATAAAATGATAGTGTTTAACACTGTGACATGTATTTCTAGTTCCTACTTAATGTACTCACGCATTGTAGGCCTTGTCAAATTGGACGCATGCAGTGCATTCATTGCACCCACAATCCCCCAGCGATTTTATGTAGAGATCGTACTGCATGGCCTCGGGGTCGTCTTGCAGCTGGTTGAGCGTTGCACCGATCCTTCGTTCCTCATTACCGTTGTCGTCCATGTGTCTCTTGTGCACAGCACGCACCATGCACCCAATTGTATGGTGTGAGCAGTTGGCAACACCGTTGGATAACACAGTAAGCTGAAGCATCTGCGTGACTATCACGGATATCTCATCGCTTCAGCCATACGGACTGTTTCGGCCTGAATCTTCTGCATGGGGGCGACAAAGGCGCTCGTCCAGGCGTTCCCACTCGTTCATTTCCTGGAAGAACAGGAACAGCTCTTTGTGTGTTGGTGGGTGGTCTTTCTCACCTTCGCCCAAACATTGTATCACCATTTCACGTTTCATTCCACTCGCCATGATGATTTGCAGTCTCAACTCTCTGTGTGGCTCGGGCACTGGTTGCTTTGGTCGATTGACGTTTTGGTGGGCGTTGCTCGGGAGGGGGAGAAGGGGCGGGAGTTGTTGGTTTTGCTCGTTTCGCCGGAGCAATTTGTTTCTCCACCCTGTTCTGTTTTTGCCTGCGGGTGACATTCTCCTTTCGTGGCAGACCAGGCCTTCCCTTACCAAGTCCACGTCATGGGGTGTCATCTTCCTGGCTGCTCCTGTTGGCCGGTTCTCTCGCATGCCTTGGCACTGGAATTTGAGGTGCTTTGGCAAGCGTCCTCATCATGCTGCGCCTTTCGAATATTGCTGCAAATAGAGAAAACAATTTGCATTGGGTAAGGGAATACATGGGAAAAAAACGAAACAAAAACTTGTTACTTTTAATTACCTATTGCTGGAAGTAAGTGCTAAAAGCTATTGTGTGTTCAACAAAATTAAATGTATATTTAAAAATCCGCCTTGAGAGCTTATTAAACATGTTTGAAAGTACATCAAATCCTCTTCTAATGTCGTGGTAGCCCTCGATTTTAATGTAACGCAAAGACTGGAACAGCCGTTCCGACCCAAACCGATCAGAATTTAGAATGTTTTTCAAGTAATAAATTATGGATCTTTCTCGTTTCAAGGTCGCTAATCTTTCTCTCCCGGGTACAGGGGTCATCATAAAAAATTTTAGAAACTGCCCATTTCGACAAGAACAGACGTAGTGAACACAGGCTGTGTGAGTAGACAAGTTTCATGCATTAATCACTGCACCAAAAACTCTCCTTCAATGAGCCATTTATGTCATGGCATATTGGATCCTGGGGCATGGGCCTTGGAAAATTTTGAATTTCAAAATTCCAGAATGGTCATCTTATGCATTCTTCTTAATCTCTGTTTTAGAACTGCCCATTTTAAGTTTTAGAATTACCAAAAATTAAACATTTCGAACAACCCATTTTGAAAAATGGGAATCCTTTGGAATTATGATGACCCCTGCCCTGGTATACTTATTCAATCAATCAATCAAAGCATTTATTTAAACACGATAAAATTTACAGCATTTGCTGATGTGGTTGTGCGGTTAAATTATTATCCTATAGTTAGTATATATATTACAAAATCTAAAATATAAAATATTAATTAACCTATTTTTGTTCCTAATTCGTCTCAATAATTCCTCTGTATTTCACTTTTAAAAGTGGCTATATTTTCTATAGCTCTTTGGTTGTTTTCCAAAGAATTCCATAACACAGCAGCTTGATAAAAAGTTGCTTTTTTCAAATTTTCAGTTTTTGGCTTTGGTAATAAAACTGTTTGTTTCCATCTCAAATTATAGCTACTGTTATATTTTACTAAATACTGCAGAAGTGGCTCAGGCATATGTCCATAATAACACTTATATGCTAAAATTAATAACTTTTCAGAATAGATTTCTTTAACTGGTTTCCATTTTACTTCCGTGTAAACATCTGCTGTCGGCATTTGCCAGTTCAATCCATAAATGATTCTGGCAGCTTGTACATGTATTTTCTCTAATTCGTCAAAAGTACTGTCCCGCATGATCCCCATATGGTCAAACCGTATGTAACTGAAGGCAATACTACTTTATGGTAAAAGTCAGCTTTGGCTTGAAAATGCCAACTTATTGTTACCCAAAATTTGTTAAGATATTAATCATGTAGGTAAATAATCTTTTCTATTTTGTGGTGATATATCAGCAATAGAAACACCAGGCGGAAAACAAATTCTAGTTAAAAATATTATTGCCCAGCAAATAACTCGTAAAAGAGGCATATTCAAAAAACATTTGGAATATATAAAAATATTTATTGAGTAACGTTTCGTCACATTACAAGCGACATCATCAGACTAAATACCGTTAAGCTATTTCATCTATTTTATAACAAATTTTGAAAAAATATATGATATACAATTACAAACGGTTAAAAAGTTAAAATTAAAAATATGCAAGTTCATGGTATATTGACATGTACAAAATTTGTTTAATAAATAGATGAAATGTAACGAAATGTTACTCAATAAATATTTTTATATATTCCAAATGTTTTTTGAATATGCCTCTTTTACGAGTTATTTGTTGGGCAATAATATTTTTAAGTAGAATTTGTGGTAATATGTCATCTTTTTTCTTTCAAATAGTTGTTGTAGTCAGTTTGGGAAATAACAACGCAACAAGGAGACCCAATTATTGTAAGGAGTAAAAAAGAAATTCATACTCACACTCCAATCTGTCATTTGTTGCAAAAAGTGAAATGTAGAATGATCCCACAGCTTCTAATAACTTTTGCAGCGTCTGCACATCATTGATATTGCTAGCATTTTGTCTTACTGCCCTAATAACCTCGTTGATGTATCTAACACCGGCCTCCATCACAGCACGCTATCAGCCTAGAACCCTCGAAAACACGTGTCGGAAAGGCTTCAAATAATAAAGCCTGTACTTTTTCCCAATAATAACAGTACAAATAAACCAATAATAAAGTTGTTCTGAAAAGAACAGTTTTCGAAAAGTGAGAAAAAGCAATGATAGAATTTTCCTGTTGACTCGCGTCTCCCAACGAACTATGCAATTAACTGACTCTGGATATTCGAATGATTTTGAACGATCTGAATTTTGAATGCTCAATTCTCATTGGTCTTTCTATTACACAACTGAGTTCTGTAATAGAAAGACCAATGAGAGTCCTGTGAAAAATAGAAGCCTATAATATATCCTTCAAAAGTAGGACTCTCCCCAGGTGCGAAAATCGAAACTTGCAAACACATTACAAGCAGGAAAACTTGGAAATTATCCAATTTAATATAAAATTCATCGAAATAACCAGGCCCTCAGGTGTGAACTTTAAATTAAATTACTACTTTATCTGATTCAAATTGATATGGAAGCAAAATTTTCAATATGATTTGAAATGAATGTTGGCAGATAAGCAAACGCATTACCAGCAGTAAAACTTGGAAATTATCCAATTTAATATAAAATTTCATCGAAATAATCAGGCCCCCAGGTATGAACTTTAAATTAAATTACTACTTTATCTGATTCAAATTGATATAGAGCCAAAATTTCTTCTTATCCCGACAACCTCTCTGGAAGTCAGGGGGTCGACTCCTTGCTTTAAGTGTGTCGACAACCCATTAATCACCTGCCCTTGCACATTCCAATTCACCCTGGCAAACAAAATTATAACAATCCCTCCCAATTTCCCTTCCCACCTGTTGTACCAAACCTGCCCTGGGCCAGATAGACAGACCACCTCACAGTGTGTACAATGCATTGACCACACCCCATCCCACACACCCCTGGTTTTATCTATTGTATTGGTTACAATAAAATGATGTATTTGAACCAAAAAAATCTGTTTATCCTCCAATATTTGATTTTTATGAATTAGGTTTTGCATTATTTGTCAGGGTTAGGAATTTGGGTTAGGGTTTAATTCAAAGTTTGGTAAGGGTTTAAGGGTTAACTCAAAATTAACACTTTAGTTTGAAAGTTAGGGTGTGGGTTAGCTTAGGGTTCGGGTTAGCTTAGGGTTGCACTTAGGGTTAGCTTAGGGTTAGGGTTGCACATAATGTTAGGGTTGCACACTGTTATCTTGGGGTTAGGGTAGGGTTAGCTTCATCCTCATTCCCAGGGCTTCTCGGCTGCCTGCATTGCCGTAAGCCCCAGGAAAAGCCAAACCGGAACACCACAAATTCTGGTGTTTTCCAGAAGTAAACATGCTCTGCTGCAGCTAAAAAATGCTGACTGTGCATTAATTTTTAATGAGGAGTGGAGACGTGTTGGTGAGCAGAAATATTGGATTTTCTTTTTGTTTTGATGGATTTTCAACCATCAAGGGAATATGTGCAGACCACCTAATGGAATTATACAAATTGGAGTTTTATATTTCGTTTATGTATCGTTAATATTTGTCAAAATACAACCATATTTCAGTCTCGTATTACATATGTATCAATTTTCATGTATGATGTAAACATGATCGAGTCGAAATGTGCTCGAAGTGGTTGCTGTGATTCAAAACATCATGGGTTCTTGTACAGATGACCTGTTTCAACACACGTTTGTAAAGTCCCTTCAAAGACTGGACAAAGCCGGACTGGAAATTAAAGAGAAGCAATACGAAGCTTTATAATCGTCTGTTGTAAGGATTAAGGAACAAGAACAATATGTGACATGTCTAAACAGCGGTGTGTGTCTGTTTACTGGGTTACAACAACGGCAATAACAATGAATCATCTAACATTTCAAGAAAATATAAATTATAGATAGATGTCATGCATGACTCCATGAGTTTTGGATTTGAATTGCTAGATTTAAATCTATATTATGTATACAAAATCATGCGTGCGTAAATTTGAGCAAAAAAGCACAGTGTTTATTTGGCCATATGCCCATCATGCAGTATGAATATTGAACACTGTTTTATATAGCACATTTAAAACATTATTTTCATGCCTGGATAATTCTGAATCCTTCACCGATTACATGTCTGGCAAATGACAAAAAATTATTATGTAAAATAATTAACCTAATATGTCTTTGGCCATGAATGCGACTCACTATGCTGTGTACATCTGAGAGTCAAAACTATGTGCATGACTGTATGGCCCAATGTATGTTTCAGGGAAATTTTTGTTTTCAGGTTACAGTATAACAACAATATTTTGTGGATTCCAATATATTTTCTACATGCAACTTTGCCTTCTGTTTCAGATAGGGGCCAAATCATTTGAGGCTGAATGGGATAGCCAATGGTTGGAGGGTAATGTTAGCAAACTTAACTCCCTTACATAATGTGTCACTGGTCAATTTTTAAATTTCTTACAATTTCACATCAGGGAGTTTTGCCCCCCCCCCATTATCCAGAAGTGTGACTAAGCATTTTTCTAGTATCTATCCAGGTGTCCAACTCCACCACAACAGGATGTATGCCTGAGTGATGGTAAGGGACATGGGGTTAAAATTCTGATTTATCAATATATTAGGCCAAATAAAAAAAAACTTGGTTAGCGTCACAGCCCGCCTCTCAATTTCTGCCGCCTCTGCATTAAATTTTTTTTTTTATGTAAATCTCTTCGTTTTACAGCTTACAACAGTTTCATATTTGAAATTTTTCTCATGCTCAGACCTTCGCACTATATACTGATTGAAGGAGCGTGTGGGCTTGGGTATACAAGGTTCTTATAGCGAAATGGCGGCCTTCGCAACATCAGTACAAAAAATTTCACCGATATGGTGGAAAAACCGCCCCCATCCCCCTAAAAAATACTATTAAAAAATTTTAAAACGAGTAAAAATTTTTGTGTGTGATGTGCTAACCAAGTATTTTTTTATTTGGCCTTACTATACATATGCACATTAAAAATATGAAAAGTTTTCCAGTTCAACATATCTATAGCAGGAGGCTTAAACCAGAATTTCAGAATACAAACCAACTTTTATGTCATTTTCGTAATGACTACTAATGGTTTGTTTAAAATCATTTTTATACAGACACGATAATTTATCAATAATAATAGTTTATTTATAATTTCAATTCTTACAAGATTTTCAATAAGTCAACAGAATAAGTATTCTATTCTGAACTGTTGACAGGAAACAGTGTAAATTCATGATCTCATCCAATATGACACAAGAATTTGAGACCCACACCTCAGGCATACCAGGGGCATTCACTTAATTTGGTGTGTGAAATTCAGTGAAGTCCCCTGCAGCCAGGACAAAATGGCAAGGTAAACTTCTTCAGTCCTGTCATCCCCAGGTATTCAATTGGACTGTTTACTTGAAATTTCCCAAACCATTCCTTTACTGTTCTGTAAAAGCCCCCCTCCCTAGCGACTGCTTTATTTCAGCATTTATATACAGCAGATAAAAGACTAAGTGACACCCCCCCCCCCATGATATATGACCTCACTCATTCCCCAACTTGGACACTGAAGGTAAGTGTCTTCTTCGTGTTGATAAACCAGTGAATAGGAGGCGATTGTCCTTGCATTCCCTCTCTGGTATGCCAAAGGTGCAGGATTCAAATGACTCGTGCAATTGAATATGCTTATATTATAAGCTTATTCATTGTATTTAATTAAAAGCTATTAAAATTACTCACCAATAATACAACTGAGAAAATTCAGAAATAGTAAAATACACCTATAATATACTATATCCTATATTTATAAATTCCAATTGGCCATTTTAATATAGGGCCATTTATAGGTAGGTAATACGCCAAGTGATTAATACCAAAAACATAATAAAAAAACCCAATATATTACACCATTAAAACTTTACTATCGTAAATATATGTTATTAAACATTTTATATTTACAGTGTGCTTTAAATTTTCGAATTATACTTGAGCACAATAATAATAGACAACTTTATAACAAGAAGAAACATGAAGAAACTTTTTAATGGCTTCATAGTTGACGTTTCTTTGATATTGTTGCTTACTTCTACTTTATAATTGTCCATTTTGTTATTTTCTTTCTTTCTGTTTGCAAATTATCTCCATTAATCCACAGAAAACATGCACTATACGTCTGTATTTCTTCGTATTTCGAACGTGCACTCCTCAAAGGCAGCCATATTGCCGAATATAAACATCCACTTGATGAATGAACTTTTCATATTTCACTCTATTTCCAATGATCAATCAAATCACTTCTGCCTCGGCTTGTCCCAGGGCTTACGGCAACGCAGGCAGCTGAGGTCAAGTTTAGGGTTAGCTTAGGGTCAAGGTTAGCTTAGGGTTAGTGTTGCACTTAGGGTTAGGGTTGCAAGGGTTGGCGTTAGGTTAGGGTTGCACTTAGGGTTTGAGTTGCACTTAGGGGTAGCGTTAGCTTAGGGTTACCTTAGAGTTAGGGTTGCACTTAGGGTTAGCATTAGCTTAGGGTTAGCTTAGGATTAGGGTTGCAGTTAGGGATAGCTTCGGGTTAGGGTTAGCTTATAGTTAGGGCGGCACTTAAGGTTAGGGTTAGTGTTGCATTTAGGGTTAGCTTATATGTAATTAGTGACGACATGTGCAAACGAAGAATTGTTGAAAAATTCAGCCCATTCAGCAATTTTTCTCTTGCAAAAATGCAGTAGGTAGTCACTTTCAGCTGAATTATATATGAGACATTACATTGAGAATTCATGTCTCGTTAGACCAATTTCAAAAGGGCTGTGTCACAACATTGATACCAGATACTTTGATATACATTGGTACTTCAGGGATAAACCTATTAGGGATCACTATGGAGCACAAGTTAAAATTCATCAAACACATCAGATGGATGTAGCAAAGAAGCGAAAAAGTAGGCGTACTCACAAAGTTGAGAAAGTTAATACCCATGTACTGAAGCGAAATTAAGCAGATATGTTAGCAGATTATAGCAGATATCACTGATAATTGTTTATAGGAAATAATTAATATCCTTAATAGTCTTATTGACTATAAGTATTTATAGTAATATAGTCAGATGTCCCCAATTAGTTTGCAATCAACCAGCACAGCCGACACATAAAATAATCAATTTAAGCAAAGCTATAAATTGCGGTTAATGGAGTAATATGTTCTGAAGGCTCTATCTGCCCTAGGGTGTTTTCAGTCTGCCAACGCATCTGCGTCACAACAATTAATCCGTACCAGGTACGTACAAGGTCCAAGTACCTTGGCAGAACAAGGGAACCGTTTTCTAGTCCTGTTAATATTACAAAATATCAGATAAATATCGAACTTTAAGAATGTGAACAACTGATGCAAACTTGGGATTAACCAATCAGAAATTATCCTGAAGGTTTTTTCCTTCACGTGCATACGTACAATGGCCCCCCTCTTTGCGCAAGGACTTTTGATTGCAGTGTCGACGTGCACTGCTCATTCGCAAGACTTTAGCCAGTGCGTTAACATCTCTGGCAAAATGTTTGGCTAATAATTTAAGGGACCAAACCTTGGCAAAGAAGTGGAAATTAAAAAAAAAAAACAGACCAATCTTGGAACAAATGGCAAAAGTAATACGCAAGATCACAAGTCCAAGGATGACGCAGTTTCCCTGAGATGCACAAGATCCCATGCATGCAGTGTTCCAGAACCAGAATGTTGCCGCTTGGAATCCACGTTCTGGGACCTCAAACGGAGTGAGTTTGTTCCATATTGTTTATATACTTCTCTAATATAACGTTCTTGAATTTACTGCTATTACACTATTAATATATAACTTTATCTTGCTCTTCTGCTGTCCATCATGAGTCACAATTTGTATTGTATTAGTATGCTATGCATTCGCACCTACTCAAGGTTACATGCTATCCTATTATCTCCAGTTGCATGCTATTGCTACTTTGTTTAATTTAATACCATACAAACAAGACACGTAATTAACTGCATATTTAGATTAATAGATGTGGTTGGATACAACTCTCCATTCATTTGCCTTGCTTGTATGCGAACTTGTGTCGCATCCGCTATTCGCTCAGGCGGGAACTATTTTGGAATATCTTAGGCTAGATATGTTATAACAGCTGTAATACAGCCTTATCGTACTGCTACTTTATACTCGTACCTAAAGTGTATACACGAGTCACGATTCATAATGCACTGTTTGCTGCATTTCACCTATTTTCCTGTGCACAAGTCTTAACACAGTTCTATAGCTATTATTGATACTTTGTAGCATGCCAGCCATACGAACAACATGTATTCAACGACAAAAAATTACACCCAGTTACTAAGAACTATGGTGTTATTGTGACTTGTGAGTTGAATAACTTGAAAAACTGCATCACATCACGAGCTATGTATAATAAGATTAAGCAGTTATTTTTCATTAATCTCACCTGGGAAAATCCCGCACTTATGGAGTGTCGTATAACCAATTTGCGCAATAGTTTTACCATACACATATTATACACATGGCATATATATAAACACGTCATTTTAGTTGACCTGCGTCTGGGGATGAAGGCAGACTTATGGCCTCATTAATATCATTATCGAGACGTAAGCATAAGCAAAATCGCTGAATCTTACTGGCTGCCGCTTTTGAATTTGCATGCTTAGGTAAAATACTTGGTGTTGTTAATATTGAGTGTGACTGAACGGGACTAAATCCTGAATAAATTGAATGTCGATACACGCATGTTTAATGCGGGTCTTTCAAACTTGAAACTTATAGCTCGATCGATCGTATAGCAAATAGTTATACTAATATACTCACATACGCAACTATTTCTCGTGGCAAGATTCGAAGAGAAGATGGGTTCCCCACACTCTTCTCAGATATAAAAAGAAGTGTGACTGAATGACTTCATGCATGTATACAGTTTATTAGTTGATGTTTTGCAGACCTTTGTCAGTCATCAGGTCACAACTCGCAAGCCAGAAGGGAATTCATACCTCTTGTAAATCCGCAATATTCTTTATATGAATATGGCAATGCTAACAGCAATGTACAATGAAGTGGAAATATTTCAACTATCAAAATTGTTAGCCTTTAATAATTGCTTTACTGGCTATAATTATACTGCCATTGGATTGCACATAGGTAATAATACTAACGACTTACAATGTCATCGCATACATATTTAAAAGTGCCAAAGACAAAGTCACAATAACGGTGTACTATTTGTAATTGTAGGCCATAATACCAGATTGTGCATCAGTTGGATGCATAAACAACCAAAATGCATGGCAAACACAATCTGAGAAAAACACTATACTGTTTCAAGTTATCATATATTTACTATACAGTACACCCCAGCTAGATCCATCATCCATGTATACTCGCTTTCTGTGCCTGGCAATGGAATTTGCAGAGGCAAGCAATAATTGATTTTCATCCATATCATATAACAAATAATCTGCATGCATAAGTTGCTTTATAAGGCGGTTTAGTTGGCATTAGCATATATTCACTAACATAATCAATCAGATCTTGGATTTTGAGGAACGAACATTGCATAAATGAATATGAGTCCGTTTTTCGTCTTTAGATGTAGGTTAACTATTCAGTTATCTTTCCACCTATACATTCATCACCTTGTTCCACCAATTTCTCGCTGTACAGGTAGAGCACTCGTTTTCCTCTTGCGTCTTTCCTTTTGTTTTTAAGGTGAACAACAAACTCGAATGTGTTCTGGTGATGTTCACTCCTGCTATCTGAACCGAAGACTATCCCCAGATTGCAGCCTCATCGCTCGATTATGAACTCTAAAACATTCTAACTGTCTAGATGTATTGTAATGTCCCTGCATGAATTGCGAGGACGAGGTTTTACTGAGGTTTAACTAGTAGTTTATAAAGCTCAGAAGCTTCTATAATCCAGTTTAAACAATGGCAAATTCAAATTTAACGAATCTGCCTAATATTGATATGCTAAACGCAAAGCAAAAAACAAATTTTTATTCTTTAACCACCCCCTTTTTCATTTTATTGCCGACCTGGTCGACTCTGCGCTGCTTCCCGTGGCAGAAACGACAACCTATACTTTGTATAGATTGTCATTAATGGTAGGGAAGTGCTGTCCGATGGACAACACTTCACCACGTGAAGCGCAATCACTGCTCATTCAGGTCGCACTGAAGACCTGAATGAGCAGTCCTAGAGACTCGATGTGGTCAGTCAGGTTATCAGTTGCGGCCCAGGGTAATGTGCCCTATACCAATAGTTGTTCACCAGTCCAACCAGGTCTCAATGTCGACGGCCTGACGGATCTGAACTGGGGTTCGCCTGTTCCCCTGTTATCTAGAGGTCCACCTGTTCCTCTAGAACAACCTACAGTTTTTGCGTGTATCCTCAGCCAGCTTTGAGTACCCTGGGTAATGTGCCCTATACCAATAGTTGTTCACCAGTCCAACTAGGTCTCAACTCGCTGAACGACATGCACAGAGTCAAGCATGCCCTCTGCAGTCTAGAGATTCGCCTGTTTCTCTAGATAAAACTTAGGTTAGCGAGAGCCTCTAGACAGTTCGGCCAGAACTGTTTTCGAGCACTTCTCTGCCCAAAATATATGCCACAAAAATGTGTTCCAAGTTATTGTTGTCTTGCTTAGTTGCCAGTTGTTCGATTTTAACTATCTGTCTCTTTCCAACATATTCAACTTCATTAATAAAGTTTTAATTTTTCAATCAATCAATCAATCAATTGATTTTATTTTCCAGAAAAACGAAGCGTTGGTGAACCATATTATATACGTAACCATAGTGATTGTAAGAATTATCATGATAGTGATATTGCCAATAGAGATTATGACAATCCTGATGACAGCGAAAATGATAACAACAGTGGTGATGATGTTAACTTTGGTGGTGATAACATTGATGATGATAATGGTCATGCTGGTGGTGATGATGTTCTTGACTCTGGTGATGATGGTTATGGCTAACCCTAACCCTAAGCTAACCCTAAGCTAACCCTAAGCTAACCCTAAGCTAATGCTAACCCTAAGTGCAACCCTAACTTTAAGCTATCCCTAAGCTAACCCTATGCTAATCCTAACCCTGAGCTAACCCTAAGCTAACACTAACCCTAAGTGCAACCCTAACCCTATGTGCAACCCTAACCCTAAGTTATGACAGTGCTGTTGAGGATGCTGGTGTAGCGTATCCCAAAAAATTGTTCCTTTTAGAATATCACAATAACAAGAAATTTACTATGATTAAGTGCTTTGGGAACAAAACAATTGAATTGGGCAGAAGCACTAGGGTGTGAGCATGTTATTTCAATAGGAAAAAGCATTTAAAGTTACCTACTGGATTATGCCAAAAACGATCTGGTTCGCCATAGTTTTTGCATATATTTAAACCCCATACTCGGAACACATGTAAATTATGTTAGTTATTCCCATTTCTAAACGGAACAGCAATCCAAAAGGAATAAATGTTCCTGCTTTAATTTGGTTGTTCCATTTGTAATATGGAATGATTTGTTGTGCACATATTGCTAGTAGTAATAGGTATAATGTTAATGAAAAAAAAAGGGGGAGTGTGAACCAGTTTATTCTTTATATAAAATTGGGTGAAAATAAGTGTTGGAAAAATGTGTCACAAACGGTGTTACTAACATACTACGGCCGGGGGGAGTTTTGCAAGGGCGTTACCCTGTCAAAACAGTGTGATGTATGCGTATGTATCCGTAACTACGCATGCGCAAAGGAGCTCCAACCCCAAAGCCTCGGTCGACCGAACTGATTTGTATTTCAAATTTCGTGCTATTTAGTTTTAAATAAAGTGGGCGGTGCTTAGGAAGTGGAAGTGACATTTAAATTCTTGTGTGTTACCACTTGGTGTTTCCTTTTTTCCCTTTTCTTTTTTAACAATTAATTTAATGATCACCCTGGCGATACATTTGATAATAATTAGCAAATCATCATCATGGTCATCATTTTATTAATTTTTAACCCATCCCAAAAGACATTCCACTTTTCCTTTTTTCCAGTGTAATTTTAATATTAAGTACTATGATAAAAATAATATGATAATATAATTTTAATATTAACTACTTTGATAAATTGGATAAAATAAAAACTTATACCAATACATCAAAGTAATTATTATAAAATAAACTTTTACCCGCGTCATTTCCAGGTTATCCCTTTTTAAAATAAATTTTTAAATAATGTGAATTTAATATACTGGCACGACAAAAATCGCTCCAGTACATCAAAGCCAATTTTTTAAAAAATAGTCATTAACAAAAATCGCTTCAGTACATCGATAACTCATTTTGGAAAAAAATCGTCAGTACTTTTAGAAATAAAAATGTTAATTTTTGTATAACCTCTTCCTCCAGAACATATAAAAATGTCCTGGAGATGAAGTTATTACAAAAAATTATTATTTCTTCCTTTCAACGGTGTAAACTGTACAAAGATGCATTGATGAAACATGTAATAATAATAAAAATACTTTCATCAATGTAACTTGGACAATTTTAACTTATTTTCTAAACCTGTATTATCTTCATTTTTTCATTAAGGGAGGTGCTGCTGGACGATGGCAAAAAACTGACTATCGCGAGCAAAAACTCTTTAATAAAAAAACAGTCCAGTTTCTTCTTTTTTCTTCGTTGGGTACAATGACCAATATAACGTTGGTATAATCATCTTTCGGTAAACGAAGGATGATCATTCCAACGATGTATCAAACATATTTTCATTATTAGGTTTTTCATTATAATGGAACACGTCTTTCTTTCTTCATTCTTTTTTCTTTCTTCTTCAAAATGATTTCTTTTTTAAATATCCTGGGTGTAATAGTATTATTAGTATTTTGATCAACCTTATCAGCATACATATAAAGTAGACGAGGTTGAAAAAAATAATTGTACTAAAATAACAATAATGTTTTCTTTATATTTCGGTTATTTTAAAAATGTGGCGATATTACCTGTGAATTTGTTATATAAACAGCAGATTCAAAAGCAATACGGCAGCATTTTTAAAACTTAAAATTTATCTGTAAAATGTATTTTAGTTTAACATTCCTGTGTTTAAATTTGGAATTTAAAGTATGTATGGAGGAAATGTTGGTATGTTTTTTATTTTTACTCTTGGGTAAATAAATAGCGAGATAAAACTAAAAATCATTTATCGCTTCCCTTGCCTTTAACAGAACCATGCAAATTATCATACTCATTCCAGCGTACCCAAGTCATGATGAGCTCCGTTTTCTGGGCGAAATATCAAGCGGACAATAAATAGACAAAACTGCAATTGGGAAATAAATGGCTATGCGTGTAGAGCGCATGCCGAATTATTATTTCATAACAAATGTTACAATTTTACTTTTTGAATACGTAAATAAGAGTTCGTTAACTGTTCGCACAGAAAAGGTGGGGTAAAACAAACCCCACGAGCATGGTCGGGTAGGCAATGCTCACCCCACCCCAGCATAACGAGGGAACGCTGGAAAAAACACCCGAGATACAAACTAAATACACCATGTGCAAAAACTTGTAATATACGTGGCAAATAAATATGGAGAGACACAATTGGAAGGTGAACAACGATGAACAAACTAAACAAGTCATGCCCCT